GCCAGCTTCACAGTCACGCGCTCCCTGACGTGTTCCTGCTGTCACCACACACACACACACACACACACACACACACACACACCCTCTAATCCGTCTGCCCGCCTTCTGACAAACATCTCACACAGCTTCTTATTAAGAACACGGAGTAAATCACAAAACAGAAGTCTGGTTTCTGATTTGTTCCCCGCTAATTCTGAGAAGACACGAGTCTGTTAGCAAAAAGAAGTCGGCAAACGTCTCGCTATGATCCGGTCATTTAGCTCATCCAAGTCTACGATGAGTAAACCTGAAACAATGTTAATTTGCATAGCGGGATCTTAAAATAGATGTGTCCTTAACTAAGATCCTCATTCCAAAGGCCTTTTTGTTAACACCATGCTGGAGGTATCCCCGTAATAGCTTTATTCCAACTCTGCATGTAGATCAACAGAATCCGCAGCGTTTAAGCTGGATTTCTGTTTGTAATTGATAATTGGGAAGATGAGAGAAGCAGCCAGAAGCTGTTGGAAGTGTTTGTTTAACCAGCTACAGTGGCATTAATCTTCCCAACTTATGTGCTTTGCATTGTAATGGGCTGCTCAGCACTTGAAGGAACTGTACTTCAAATCTGTCCTCTCGGGGGATTTAATACGGTTTCTTGGTACACGCTCACGCCATGGACTATATTTCAAAGACTAAAACTTCATGCGAGGTGTTAATCATTCTTCTCCTCTTTCAGGAAACACAAACTGTGATACTACAGGTGTGGAGCTTCCTGGCACAGCTGCTCAGCTCTCACAATGAAAGAAACAAGCGTTATGATCTCAATAAGTGGAAAAATGATGTCAGGAAGTGCCTGCAGACAAATTATCTGAGAAGTAGAACAGAAATATCAGAAAATCCCGCCAATTCTCAAAAGAGGGATTTACTAACTTAATAATACTTTCATGTTTCGTTCAGTTTTATTCCCACATCATTGGAAAAGAGGGCTGCAGGCAGCATTAACCGTCTGCACTGGAAGGATGTCTGGAACTCCACGGAGGTTAAAATAACTACAGAACAACATAGAAATCCAACAGGAGAGGGTTCAGCAGCACTAACGCTCAGTCATTGGTAATTCCAACTCCAACTACACATTTTGGTAAAGGTCCCACTCAACATTGATGGCAGCCGTTTCCCACTCAAAGAAATAAAGTTATCCAATGGTTGGACACAGAGCAGTCGTGTCGTGATTTTCTGTTTGAAAGAGCTTTGAGATCAGTGTGGAACAGATGTGCATAGCAGGGGGGGGGGCAGTCAAAGGTGGAGGTAATCAGGAGCAGGTGAGCTCATTCAGAATAAGCGGGCGAGGAGCAAAGTCAGGGAGAGCTACAACACGGTGCAGAATGGAGCCAACGCAAAGTCCAAATCTTAAAACGTAGCATAAAACCTGTTTTCAGTTAATCCCCTTTCATTACGTCTGCTGGGGGCCATTTTAATTCTTATTTTCAAAAAGCACTGACTTTCTATGCTGCATATTCACATAATGTTCAAAGAAAAGAGCCAACAAAAGCCCTCATGACTTAATGTATCTTTTTATGAGAATCTCAGCATTGATTGAAAGATCAATGTTCTGTTTTTTTCCCCGATAGTCATCCTTGGTCGGACTGACTTGAATACCCACTTTGCCTCAGTTATATTTTTCATCTCATTGATTCAGACCCGTTGGCGGAGTTGTCTCTACCTCTGGAGCCGGCGGTTTTGAAAATGCGTTATCAATGACTCCACACAACAAAGAAGAAAGACTTCCATCTTCAACAAACAACGCAAACCGTCTCTCCCCGAAGATTAATTATGCTCAGGTATCGGTTTCTCTGAAAACAGCGAAAAGATGACCCTCCGAAGCCACCGCCGCTTTTGTAGCTTCACTCCACGATCCATAATGACTCGGACGGGGAGGGACATGACAAATGGAGTGCGCTGCGCCTTTTGTATCAGTGTTAGAGATGTTAAATTGTTTAAGAGAGCTTGAATGAAGGCTAAAAATAGAAAGCATGGCAGCTTGGCTCTGCATAACGTAGCGTCGGACCACATTGACTCACATGCCGTGAGGGATGTGGGAAGCAATGAAACACATCAAAAAACCGGCAAAAAACAAGTGACCCAGTGTCATTATCTATTCATGATGGAGGCTGAGAGGGAGTATGAGGGTGGATGCTTAACAATCACGCTTCTGTGTGTTACTCTGACAGCTGTATGATGTTTAAAAGGGTAATGAATTCATCACAGCCTTGTCTCATTGTTTTAGCCGACACTCCAAATCTGCTTGAGGACTTTCTTCCCAGTGAGTATCCAGTCATCTTTACTACACGGCTCAGTAATGTCATCAACACAATGCAAAGTTGGAACCTTCCTTCCTGGCGCATTTAAATGATCTTTGAGGGCTGCCAAACAGAATGAGTCTCAAAAGTCCGAGAATCAAACTTCAGAGAAGACTTAACCTGCTTTTAAGCTTTGATAAGGTTACCGTTCGGAATTTGAATGCCAAGTCTTTCTGCGAGCGTCTGAACTTTGAAGGAAACAAAACGCACACCTGCAGCCATGGCGCGATAGCACCGACTGCTGTGATTAATTTCCCCGCCTCCCAAAAATTACAGTCTCGACAAGTGCTTTTACTGAAAAGGATGGAAATTAATGGGCTCCCGGAAGCTGAGACATCAATCTGAAACAGCGTATACAAACTAAGACACACCAAAAAAAGGCTTCTGAGAGATTCTACATCTAAACCGAGGTATGTTTGATTACCATCAAAGGCCTGCCTTTTGAGAATTATCCAGACAGTTTGTCTCATACAGAACTTTTTAGATCTTTTTAGACTGTAAGGGCCAGCCTTAATTATCCGGCATGCATGTTCAAGAATGAAAAAAAAGTATCTTTATTTTTTGTGGGTTTTTCTTTAGGTTGTAGCTTCTCTGTTCGCCTATCAAAAGAAAACGTGCAGCTAAAATCAACTGTATTTATTCAAATTCAGACAAAGTTTGACCAGTAACCTTTCCATGCAGAAATTTTTTACGTTTTTTCTGCAGCTTTGTGTGTTTTTTCACATCAAATTTCCTACAAAACTGGCCTCCTTCCCTTTCAGGATCAGAATAATTATGGAATTTAAACTAATTGCTGATTGGATACGGGAGTTGCGGATGAAAACTAGCTTCGTAGCTATAATCCGGCATATTTACATTTGTTTTTATACTGATGTTCATTAATGTGCTTTGTCCCTATTCAAATAGATAAATAAATAAATAAATCGATTGGCCAATTTCAGCCTTAAAAAAATCACCAAGATAGTCACATACTTGATAAGCGCTGGCCACAGGCAGGTCTTGCCATTCCTTCCGGAGGAGCTTGACCTGCTCCCACTCCTCTGCTTGAGGAAAGTGGCCGTGTGGCAGATGTAACTGCTGAAGTCGTCGGGCCATTCCTGTTTCACATGTGACATTTTCATCTCAAGTCACTTGTCTGCATTGTCAAGATGCCATCTATGCCTTGTGGCATGGTTAGATTGTTCAAAGGTCACTGTTAATAGCGTACTTTAAGCGTGGGCATGTGCTCGGACAAACTTATGGAGGAAAAAAAAGGGATGTTTTTGACATTTATCAGGAATGCAGCTTCACATTGCATTAAAAAGACTTTAGAAAATTGGGCCATGTTGTAATTATTAGAGTAATATCTGCAAAATGGAGCACGAATCTCATTCAAATGTGATTGCAGCATTTCACTGCTGCAGACTGTTTACAGTACAAATCTAATACTTCTGCACTAGTGGCAGCCTGAT